TTTAGCTTTATTCTGCCTTCAAAGCATTGACCAGTCTGTTTCTGATATTTATGATATGTAAGCTGCTGGCGACCTGACCTCTGCCCCTGGTGCAGGGGATGGCATGACATTCTGCGGGGATCAGGTTCTCCGCCTTGGACAAGGGAAGATACAGGCTTTGTTTAAAAATAAAGACAGCGCTCTTGGGTTTACTGTACGTTGTTTCCCTCTGCCACTCTGTTTACGGGCATACAAAACCAAAAATAAATGTATGAGGAAGAGAGGAAGGTCAGAATATCAAGTGTCAAAAGTAGCCCATGAAATTTTATTGGTGGTGCGTTTAATCAGCGCTAAGCATTTTTTACAAGGTACGTACAAACAGTGGAATTGTAAAAATTTATGGAATGCTGTGTACAGTGTGGCTGTTTATGAAGAAAGGAAAATTTATATCCAGTTGAAGTAAACCAAAGGGGGAATGCTTTACGGAGACTCCCAAACAGTGGGGTACGTCAGATGAGATCTGGGTACAGGGAGGTATGGGTGTTGGGAAGGGTTGAATGCTCTTTGGGGTGTTTCTCTGCCTCTACAGCAGGTAGCAAGTCTGCATTTTGCTGTGGCTCTCAAATAGGCAGGATGCTGGGTGCAGTGATGTATTTTTTTTCTATACAATGGAAAGGAAACACGGATGAACAGCTGCTACTGGTATCTCTGGTACGAGGCTCTTGCTCTTGGACCCATTCCAGTTTAACAGTTTCTTGAGCAGCCCTTAATATCCAGCTGGGAAGGGTTAACTGAAGCCAATCACTTTGACATCAGCATTTTTGTTTCCTTTTTGGTCCAGTATTTTGTTGATGATAAAGCACAGACTTAGTCAATTGAGAGATTCCAGAGCTGCAGTATCAGAGATAATTTAATTAACGGAATTGCTTGTGATTGCCCACTGGGACAGCGGGTAAGAATTGCTCAATTTAATTTGGAGAAACAAAGATCACATGCATGCTAATGTTTGACAAATAAGCAGCGTTTGAGTTGAAGTTTTTTTTGCAAAGCTGGGGGGCAGCCAATTCCCAGGGGAGATTTCCCAGGAGGTGATTGCTGAGTAACAGCTTGAGTCTACAGATAGGTCCTTTCCCTTTAACGTGGTACTTTTATGTCCTTCTGCTGGCCTTTTATCTGAACAAAGCAAGGATTTGCTCAAAGGAAGAAAGTTGGTTCTTATTTTTAGTGCCCAGTGGAAAGTGGAAAATGCTGTGAACAGTAGAAAAAGACACGTTGGGCACAAAGACCAAAACCGATCACGTGCTGTCTGCTAGCCCTCATAGGCTTGCTCCCTGCTACCCAGCATCCTCAGCTGGGACTGCCAGGTTGTTGAAGAGTTATCCACAAAATCCTGAGGGAACTGCAGGACCAAGCATCTTCCACAAGGAGCCCCCCATAGATGCTTTTGCTCTCACATAAACGCTCTTGCTCAGGCTCCCCCGTTTGTGGTGGTGCAGGTCCACGGTGAGCAGAGCGTGGATGTGCCCCCTCGATACGTGCTCAGCCCGGGAGGACGATGCAGGTATCGATGAGGTGGGAGCAGCACTGGGGCTCGAGGCGTTGCTCTTGGCAGCAGTTGTGCTCTGCACATCTCTCTGGAGGCTGATAAATGACGTTGGCCAAAGACGTCAGATCGGAGCGCTGAGGCGCAAAATTGTTCAAAGAGTCCTCCCACATCCAGCGTGAGGTCAAGGCGGAGCGGGGCGAGCAGGGCTGTGGAAGCCAATTCCTTCTTCCTTGTAATTCCCTCTGCCTCCCTTGGCATGGTGACTTGTGCACAGCCTTACCCCATCCATGGAGCTTGGCTTTCTGACCCTCGCTCCACCCTGGCGTGTCCCTGTAAAAGTACTGCCCAGGCTGCTCCCAGCTGTGTCCGAGCAGGAGCACACGCGGTGTGCACGCAAGAGGGAAGCCTGAGGGAGTTCCCAATGTTGCTGCTGCAGGAAGAGTCGGTCCTAAGCGATGCTTATCTTTAGGATACAAGCAGCAGGTTGATGGTAAAATGTCGCTAAATGGAATGGCATGTGTCCCAAGTGTGCTGGCCACCACGGGAGCCAGACACATGGGAAGTGACTCTTGTCTTTATTCCATCCCTGGAGGTAGTTCCAGTTTCCTTTATTTACTAATGTTCTCCCTATTTCCCTTGACCTCATTTCCTCCGGCTTTTCGGAAGCAACCATGCAATTATCGCTCACTTTGGGTTGACCCTTGGCCATGGCCACGTCCCTGGTTGCTGCTGCTCCGGGAGGTTTTCCTGAAATCTCAAGTGCAAAAATACTCGCTTGTGGCCAAAATCTCTCTCTTGTGAGACAGGAGCTGCGTCTTGGGCACTATGCTGTGCGTCAGGATTTGTCCCGAGAGGACACTTGGCAAGGAGAATGTGGAGTTTAAAACCTGAGCTTTGATCAGCGCTGGGAGATAAGGCCGTGGCTAAAGCTCCCTCTTACCAATGCACCCCAGTCTTGTTAATAAATGTATATTTAACAATGTCTGGAGCGTATGAAGTGATAATAACTAAATCAATACCTCCCACATTGATTGTCCAGGATCCCTACAGCGTGACGCACGCAGCGGTGCGGTAATTTTCCAGCTAACTAGCACCCTGATCTACAGCCCTCCTATTGATTGGCCATTGTATCAGGCAGCCTCTGAGCATATTGCTTATACCTCTATTCAGCCTCCTTTTCTGATTCATTCGTTTATTACTGGACAGGTACGATTATCTCAGAGACTTTCCGAAATTGGCTGATGGGGGTCAGCCATTTAGACTTCTATAAACAAGCCATTTTCTATCTCCTCCAGTTGTTGCAGAGGCAAATTTTTTCTTTTTAAGCTTTGACTGTTATTGGGCTGGGACTGGAGATGAATTGGCCTTTGCTCAAATCTGCTGAAGGATTTCACTTTTCCCCTTTCTTGCTGAGTCACCTGCTCTTCAGGAGAGGATGGGTAGCCCCATGGATCACGATAGGAGAATTCAGCAGGGGTTGAGGTTCTGCTTGCCACTCAGCAGGAGCCACGTTCTCTGCCTTTTAAAACTCCAGTTCCCTTATGCAGGCGGGAAGGAGAAATGGATTCCAGAAAGTCAGATTCACCTCCAGCCTTCATCCTGCAGCAGCATTGGGCCAGAATGGAAGGGAAACACTTTTCTCAGCCGACAATAATCTTCAAGCTATAAATAAATAATTCTGTTTCTTCCTTGGACAAAACTAACACCTTTCTAGACTTTCTTTGAAAACACTGACAACTCTTCCTTGAGGGTGAGAACCCAAACTGGGAGATGATAATGATTTATACCATGAGTAGCAGCAAGTGGGTGTTTCACAGCGGGGAGTGCTGTCTACTGC